AGGAAGTGATATACAATCAATTCAACGTCAAAGAAGAAGATCTATGTCAAGAGATCTTTTTAAACCTGGAACAATTCTTAAAACTGGATTAAGTCATTCATATCAACCTATTATTATAAATCAACAACTTGCTTGTTTAAGTTCAAATCATGAAAGTGATCAAGCTTCTCCAAGAGTTACATCTGTTTCTCCAAATATTGGATCTATGTCAATAGATATGCATAGTGTATCAACAGAAAAAACTGAAAATCAAATTGATTTAAATCAAGTTATTTCTATTATTCAAGAAAATGAAAATTATTTAAAAATGATTGAACTTGCATTAGAAAATAATACTCCTATTCAAGCTGAAATATTTTTATTATTACAACATAACATGAATAATCTCTTATTACTTTCTAATTCTATTGCTCAACCAACTCCTTTACCTTTATTTTCTAAACAATTATTATTACCTAAACAATTAAAAGCATTAGGAATGAATGATTTTATTCAATCCCCTTCATATTTAACATTAATTCTTTAATTGTATTTTACCATTCCTTTTAATTTTTTTGTTTAATTTTAAAAAAAATAATATTTTTTATTTCTTTTTTTTTTTCAATACTTAAATAATAAGAATTTGGTATATATTCCACAATAATGTTGATTCTTTTTATTTTCTTTAATTATTCTTTCTCTCTTTATTTATTGTAGAAATAGAGCGTATTGAAGAAACTGAAACAATCACTTCTCAATATGAAGAAAATCCAATTGTGGATATATCTATTATTTATATTTTTTTTTTTTTTTTTATTCTTTCTCTCTTTATTTATCTTTTAATTGTTTTTTTTTCATTATAATTGTTATAAAACTTTTTATTTTTATTTATTTCTAATTAATCATTAATTTCACTTCTTTGAAACAATTTTATCAACCAAACTATTATTTTCAATTCTCCTTATTAACTTTATCAACGCCTTATGTTAAATTTCAGTAAATCATTAACAGATATATAACAGTTATACATAAAATGATGTTAAAATAGTTATTTTCGTGTCATCATATGAATGTGAATCTGAGTAATCACAACATTTTAGATGTCATTACAATCATTCTTTATTCCTTTTGAATTTAGATAATAAACCATTCAATCTACTCAATAAGAACAATTAATTATGTTATTTATTATCAAAATTATAGAATCAAAGAAATATATGATAAAATTTTGATTCATTTACAGTTATCTTATCACAATAAAGTTACAAAGAGAAGTTAAACAGGTAGTTAACTATAATTACTATGTAGATGTAAATCAGATATTAAAGGATATTAAAAAGTAAGTTAATGAAAACGAATTGATTCAGTATTAAAAAGCATAAAATAACTTACTAATAAGAAGATTATAAACAATAAAGATAGATGAAATAAAATTCAAATATTCGTATGTACATTGATACTAAAGAAAGATATACAGCATATATAAAGAATAAACAATAACCATTAATCATATCATCTTTGTTAAAATTAATATAAAGAAAGACATTAACTAACAACAATAAAAGAAAAATAAGAAATAATGAAAATAAACATTATTTAAACTAAATTTTCAATTAATAGAATAGAAATAAAACAATAAAAAATATGAAAGTGTTCATTTATATTCCTTATTTCATTCTCTTATATTGTTTTAAATTTTCAATATTTCATTGAAACTTTTACAATAAATTCGTTCAGTTTCATCTTTATTTTTTTTATTTGATATTCTTTTCTCATTTTTATAAATCATACACATTTATATATAATTTATATTCTTTGTTTCTGATTTAAATTTAATTCTAAATGAATAAAATGATTGTTTAATAGTTATAATAAGTATTTTATTAATGTTTAGTTATTCAATTATTAAAATAAAATTAATAAATATTGATTAATGAATAAATAATTTCACTCTTTCATTTTAATATCATTTATTAATAATACACACTCTTTTATTATCCATTTTTCATTATCTCAATAAAAATGAAATGTTTAATGAAACGATAAAATAGAATAATATATTATAATTAATATATCATTTGATTTGTTTTTTTCATCTCTTTTACTCTGTTATTTTATTATTACTAATCTTCTTTCTCAAAACATTCTCTTGGAATTCTCGTATTATATTTTAATTCTTCATCACAACCACAGTTAAAGAAACAAGATGTCCCAAATGATGTAATTGATGTTGGTATATTGATATTAGTTAATGAGATACATTCACTAAAGCAACCATCATCTATTTTACTAACTGAAGATGGTATATTAATTGATTGTAATGATATACATTTATAAAAACAACTATTTCCAAATTCATTAACTGATGATGGTATATTAATTGATTTTAATGATGTACATTGACAAAAACAATAATTTCCTAATTTAGTAATTGATGATGATAAATTAATTGTTGTTAATGATGAACACTTATAAAAACAACCAATACCTAATTTAGTAATTGATGATGGTAAATTAATTGATATCAATGACATACAATTGTAAAAACATTCATCACCTATTTTACTAACTGATGTATGTATAGTAATTGATGTTAATGATGAACATTCATAAAAACATTCTTTTCCTATTTTACTAACAGATGATGGTATGTTAATTGATGTTAATGATAAACATCCATAAAAACAGTAATTTCCTATTTTACTAACAGATGATGGTATATTAATTGATATTAATGATGAGCATCCTTTAAAACATTCATCACCTATTTTAGTAACTGTTCTTGGAATATGAAGTGTTGTTAACGATGAACATTTATAAAAACAATCATCATCTAATTCATTAATTGTTGATGGAATAATAAATTCACTAATATCTTGTTGTTGATAAACTTTATTATTATTATTAATCTTATGTAAATTTTCAGGTATTTGAATACTAACTAGTACTGGTTCATTAATAAATATTCTATCTTTACTTATGAATTTTATATTAACTATATTAATGGATGTTAATGATAAACAATTGTAAAAACATTCATACCCTATTTTATTAATTGTTGTTGGTATATTAATGTATTCCAATGAAGAACATTTATAAAAACATCCATTTCCTAATTTACTAATTGATGAAGGTATAATAATATTACTTAATGAATAACATCTACAAAAACACCAACTTCCAATTTCTTTAATATTTGATAGAATATCAATATTAGTTAATGATATACAATCATAAAAACATTCATATCCTAATTTAGTAATTGATGATGGTATGTTAATTGATTTTAATGATGAACAAAATTCAAAACAATTATAGCTTAATTCACTTATTGTTGTTGGTAAATTAATTGTTTCTAATGATGTACATTTAGAAAAACAATAATCTCCTATTGACGTGACTGTTGTTGGAATTTTAACTTCTTTTAACAAAAGATATTCTGAAAAGTGGTTTGCTTCTAATTTACTAATTGTTGTTGGAATGGTAATACTAGTTATCTGTTTATATTCATTGAAATGATAATTGGTTAATGAAATTGTTGTTAATTGATTATTGATACTACTTAATGAAATACATCCACCAAAAATATTATTACCAAATGATGTAATAGAAGTTGGAATATCTATGTAAGTTAATGATGAACATCCTTTAAAACACTCATCTCCTATTTTACTGACTGATGATGGTATATTAATTGATGTTAATGATAAACACCAACTAAAACAACCACGTTCTATTTCTACAATTGATGTTGGTATAGTAATATTACTTAATGAGATACAATGCTCAAAACAATTATCTCCTAATTTATTAACTGATGTAGGTATAATAATATTTGTTAATGAATTACAATTATAAAAACACTCATTTCCTATTTTACTAACTGGTGATGGTATATTAATTGACATTATCGATGAACATCCTTTAAAACAACCAATTCCCAATTCAATAACTGATGGTGGTATAGTGATTGTTCTTAATGTCTCACACCAACTAAAACAAGCTTTTTTTAATTCACTAATTGATGATGGAATAGTAATTGATGTTAATGATTTGCATTCATAAAAACAATTATTTCCTATTTCTTTAACTGATGTTGGAATGTTTATCACTGTTAAATACTCACATCCACTGAAACAATAATTTCCCAATGATGTAATTGTTGTTGGAATATTAACTGATTTTAATGAATCATAGCCATAAAAACAGTTATCTCCAAGTGTTTGGACTTCTAATGGTATTGTAGTTCCATGTGTGTCTATATCTCTTTTTTTATATCCTATGTGTTTACATATATTTCCTTGTTCTTTTTCTTTTAAATATGTTGAATAATCTACTGTATACCATATTATTGTTTTAACTATTCTTCCATCATCAAATTCTTCATCATATTTATTATAAATATGAAATGTTTCAATATTAGGAAAGAATCTTCTTGAATATTCATTTAATGGAATTGGATTAAAATGAAATCGTTCCATATTTCCTCTAAATCTTTTAATTCCTATTTCTAAATTAATAAAATCTTTAATATCATTAAAATACATTGACACTATCATAATTTCATTATATCCTATTCTTCTTTTTCCAATTAGTCCTTTATTGATTTTATTATTGTATATTATTCTTTTGATATTTATTATCATTTCTCTTTCTTCGGAATATTCTGAATCTTCTTCTTCTTTTTTTATCATTTCTATTATTGTTTTAATATATGTTTCTTCGTTGATTTCTTTATATATCCATCTTTTTGTGTTTATTTTGTTTTCTTTTTCTTGTTTTATTTTATTATTTATTATTATTCCTTTCTCTTCTTTTTCTTCTGATATTATTCTATTGATTTCTTTATTTTCTTCTATTCTATTGTTTATTCCTATAGTATTTATTATGCTTATTTTTATCTTATCTTTTTCTTTTTTAATATTTCCATATGTTATTTCTGTATTTTCTATGATAAGAATTGGTGTTTCTATGTTATATGCTTCTGAAAGTATTCTTTCAATTATATGATATTTCCGTATGATTTGTACATTATTTAATCTTCCCAGTTTTGTTGAATTTTCTATTCTTCTTTCATTTCCTTGACTTGTTCCATTAGGAATACAAATGATTGTTCTTTCATTTTCTCCTTTCTTTTCTACTTCTTTCTTAATATTATTGAATATCATTGTTAATTTACTCTCTGGTTTAATCATCATTTCTACTCCTTTAATATTTTCTTTTCTAATTTTCACATTCTTCTCATCATTGGAAATGATTTCTTCATTTATTTTCTTTTCTTCTTCTTTTAAATATTTCATTCTATCAACTCTTTCATATTCATTTCCATCATACAAATACACGTCCATTTCATCATATTCAATATCAATTATCATTGTTATTGTTTTACGTTTCATCTTTTATTTATTTTCAAGTTAGTTTTTCAACATAACTTCCATTTTTCAATTACAAAATATTCTTTATTATTATTTTTGTTATTCAATTAGATAATACACAACATCATTACACAACACATTATTACCTTGTTATTAATTAAACCCATGTCCTACTTATGTTATTTTCTTTATTAAAAAAGAAATCAAATATGATTTACTTAATATTTAGGTTTTCACCATGTTGAGAAGTGAGTGATTTAGTTTCTTCAACACATTTTATTTCAATTGAAATAAAATTCTTTCAAACATGCTCAAATTAAATGGTTCCTCATTTAAGTTGCTGCCTGATTTTTATTTGAATTAAATGAGTATTAAAACTCCTCATTATTTATAATTAATTTTATGATGATTATCAATAACACTATGTCTCATCTCTTTTATCCTCAA